ATGGCTGAAATAAAAAACACAAGAAACAGCAAGTGTTGACAAGGATGTGGAGAAAAAGGAACCATCTTATACTTTTGATGGGAATGCAAACTGGTGCAGTCACTGTGGAAAACAATATGAAGGATCCTCAAAAAGTTGAAGATAGAATTGCCATGATCCAGTAATTCCACTACTGGGTGTTTATCCAAAGAATACAAAAACACTATTTTGAAAAGATATGTGCCCCCCTCTGTTTATTACAGCATTATTTACAACAGCCAAGTTATGGAAGTAGCCCAAGTGTTCATCTATAGATGAATGGATAAAGAAGATATGCTATATATATACAACAGAATATTACTCAGCTATAAAAAGAATGAGATCTTGCCATTTGCAAAGACATAGATGGATCTATGGGCATAATGCCAGGCGAAATAAATCAGAGAAGGACAAGTACCACAGAATTTCACTCACATGTGTAATTTAAGAAACAAAACAAAGAAAAAAAGAGACAAACTGAAAAACAGACTTAACTATAGAGAAGAAACTGATGGTTACCAGAGGGGAGGTGGGTAGGGGGATGGGTAAAGTAGGTGAAGGGGATTAAGAGTATACTCTTTTTTTATTTTAAGAGTATATTAAGATTAAGAGTATATAAGTGATGAGCACTGAAAATGTATAGAATTGTTGAATTACTATTTTGTACACCTGAAACTAATTTAATACTCTATGTTAACTGTACTAGAATTAAAATAATTTTTTAAAAAGGAAAAAGAAAAATTACTACACTTATTTAAACAATAGTATATAGAGTAATGCTGACAGAATATCTTGGTAAAGTCTGTTGTCTTTAAAAATACCTAGCAGCAAAGAAAAAGAAAAATTGACTGCAATAGTTTGTTATTTAAAGTAGATAGTTGCAACATGATGGAATTGGGGAAGGTGAAAGAGAAAACAGGATATCAGAATGTATAAGAATCTCTTTAGGGAAGATATATAAATGCTAAGTTGTTATTTTTAAGTAAAAAAAAGATTAAAAAGAAGATATACAAAGTGTATGAAAAAGCTGAAATAAGATGGTAGAAACATTCAACTGTATTAAAAATTATAACTATTATATGTTTATTGACAGTTTCTTGTTAGTGGGTCTATAAAAATCGTGCTTATAATCTCTACTCCTTTTTCTTTTTGTAAGCTGGAATACCTTTAATTTTTCTTTTAATAATATGTCGTTACTATAAAGTTTCAAATTCTGGAGATAAAATGAAAATCATCTAGAGTTTACCACAATTTGGTATATATTGTAAAGGACATTAGACCAGATGACTATCTTTTACCAACACTTACATTCCCTGAACTTTTACATCTTGGTTATTCTTTTGTCAAAATATTTACCTTTTACAGAACCTTAACACATGCAACCAGAAGTATGGCAACAGTTTTAGGAGATATAAACAAGTGAACCAAACAATGTTAAACAATGGAAACCAAGGTTTCTGTTTGTGGAATAGTAGAGAACTAATAGAGCACAGAATTAATTTAGGTATGTGGCACTGAAAAGTTAAGTGAAGTAACATGACAGGTCAGGGTTAAAACACTGAATCCCTGGTCACTTCAAAAGGTGGGGGGGTGACCATTCCATGGCTCAGTTAGATGTGTACACTGAGACTGTCTAGGCATTTCCTGAGTCAAAGGAAACTGGGTCTGACCTATACATGTAGATGGGAGACCATCAGGTGTCATCAGTACTTATGGGAGGATACTAGAAGAAATGGAGGAAAATATCAAAAAGCACTTAAAGACATCAACAGCATTCAAAGAAATCTCAAAAAAAAAAAAAAAAGCTCAGAACCAGACAGTTTTACATGAGTTTTAACACACATTAAAGAAATTGTAAATTCATATCTTGTAAAGTTTTTCCAGAAATTAGAAGAGTAAAAGCTGCCCATCTGATTTTATTAGGCTAATGTAATCTTAATTCCAAAATGAGACAAGGAAAATGAAGAGAAAACAACTACAGCACATTTCACTTAAAAATGCAGATTCTAAAATTCTCAATAAAATATTTGCTAACCAAAAAATAACGTGTTAAAAATAATACACCATGATCAAGTAGGATATAACCTAGAAATGCAGTGATGGTTTCATATTAGAAATTCTATTCATATAATTCACAGCATTAATATACCACAGGATAAATGTCATGTGATTATCTCAAAGATGTATAAAAGCCATTTTATAGGGTTCAATAGCTATTTATGCATACCAAGCTAGAAATAAAAGAACTTCCTTAACTTAGTAAAGGTTGTATATTAAAAACCTTCAGCAAGCATTATACTTAAGCGAGAAGTAAGATACTAGATGCATCCTCTTTAAGACTAGGCATAAGATAAGGATACCCATTGCCACTAGTACTTGTTTAACATACTTCCAGAGGAATTGATTTAAAGGTATTAGAAAGAAGAAAAGTAAAATTATGAGGATGGGAGAGGTAGAAAGAACACTTTGATTATTTGGAATTGATATATGATCACCTATCTAGAAAAAAGAATCTTTTAAGCATTAGAGAGTTCAGCAATGTTGTTAAAACCAAGATCAAGTTTCAAAATATCAGTATTATTTCTCTACACAAACAATAGACATCAAGAAAATATTTTAATTAATATTTAAAATATTGATGTCTACTCAAAGAGCATCATGCACAAAATTAAAAAGTTGAAATAATGGAAGCAGATTTTTTTTAATATCTAAAACTAACAGGAAATGAATATTTAGAATATACAACAAACTCTTAAAGAACATTTATCAAAACACAAGAACCCATATGAAAAATAAAGTGTATGAACAGCAATTTCAGAAAAGGGAAGTCAAAAGGCCAATAAAAATATGAAAAGATATTCAAATGTATTACTGATAAGAAGAATTAAAATTAAAACAATAAACTACAAAAATTATGCACATGAGATGGAAAATAGCAAGCTCAATAATGTCAAGGGTTGACGGGAGTGAGAGGGTTACTGCTGGTGTGGACCAAAGTATTTGATCAATCAACTGGCAGGACTTGGTCAAATTAAGCATAAACATGTTCCTACTGCCAGCAACTGTGCTCCTTGATATATATCCCAAAGAAGTCCTTGCAAAATTCCATGATTAAATAAGTATGAGGATGCTCATCATAGCAGTGTTTGTTGCAACAGAAAATCTGGGTGGCAATCACTGGGAAATATGGGTTGTTAAAACATGATAGCTACAAACTATGGAATATTATGCAGCAGTTAGAAGCAATGTACACATGACAACATAAGTAAATGATAAGCACTTAAGGTTAAGTAAAATTAAATAGTAAGGAACAAAACAAGATACACAGCACAATAACATATATACATAATAAAATTTAATATACATAAAAAAGGGGAGGGGGGAGGGTAGAGAGATAATTAACACAAGCCCAACCAAGAGACCCATGAAGGTTCATAATATATTCTTTTATTTATTTGAAATTTTCTGTTTAAAATATTTAAAAACATGTATATAAAATAATACATTATGAAAATACATAGAATAAACCAAAGAGAGCATTTCAGTAGTTATTATAATGACTATCATATTAGAATGGTTCCCTATGGGTCAAGGTCAGGAGCATGGGACTAGAAACAAAAATAAAATGTATAAATAAATAATATCAGTACTTTGCATGGGCCAATGATGACAGCGTGCAATGAACTAAAGAGCACGTTTAGCTTTATTCTCTATGCAAAGGTCCTTTAAAAAAAAAAGATTCTTTATGGCTATATTTTTTTTAATTGGATGGATCTGGTTTTAGCTTGTGAAGATGAAGGAACTACAAAAATAATTGTCTAATTATTATAATTCAGAAAACAACTGAATAGCTGTTCCAAGTAACCAACTCACCATATGTAACTATAGAAATGAATTAGAAATAAGCAATGTCATTTTTATTTTCAAGATAAGTCATTTCTAACAATATTCATCACAAAAAACTAGCAAAATCAATAAGCTGCTACCCACAAATTAAGGAGAAAAAATAGACTCTAAAGTACTTGCACTCTAAGAGAATAAAGAAAAACAGAACAAAAGGAAAAAATTTCCGCACCAGAGGCTGTAAACTGTTTTATTTCGTTCACACAGTTGGCAAAATGTAGGTTTTTTCACAGGCAAAATTCTGTGCTGATATTAAAAAATTAGGACTCTTCAAAATCCATATTTGTTTCTCACAAAAAATTGTAAAATCAGATTTAGCAATCTCTTCTTTCTTCCTAGAGAGGATTATAGAGCTGAACAAAAGTGCCCCATTTACTGGTCACATATTCTCCAAAGTTACATTGTACCTGCCTAACACACAATGTTATTTAAAATACCTTTTCCTTGTACGTAGTACTCCTCAGATCTCACTCAAAATTTTACCAAAATGTATTAAAAAATTTACTTAGTAATGTAATCATATAAGCAGTCATGGGAGGCATGAGCAGAACATGCTAAATGAAAGGATATTATGGGTCAAGAGAAATCTCTGGGGACTCGAGAAATAGTAAAAAGAGGTTTGGTATTCGGAGGTAATACCGTGAATATATGAAACTATGACAGGGTTTTTGGAGTGGTTAAAGAACAAGTTTCTAATGTAGTTAACTGATTAATGAATACACTACATTAAGAAGAAAGTGCAGTGGGTAGAAATTTTTAAGTATTCTTTCAAGTTAAACATTACTGAGTTCTGCTCACAGATTTAATGGAAGCTACTTCATTTCTTCTCTATTCTTACTTGGTTTGCACACTTCCATAATAATATATCAATTTTATCAATTGCCTGTTATAAATGAAATACAATACTTCTTGTCAAAATAGTGTTAGGGCATACATATTTGTGCCTGAATATGAATGAATGTGGTTTTGAGGTTTCTTAGGTAGGGCCAGTGATAAAGCCAGTTTGCCAAGTCAAAGTACAGTCTGGAAATCCTCGTCATTTAAATGAGATTATTTATATGGTTGTATTTATTACTTACCTTGAGTATCTATATTTTAAAGATCTTGTCTGTAAACCATATAACCTTCAATATCTACTTCCCACATGCAGAAACTGATTTCCTCAAAAAGCATCTAAAAAAGAAACAAGAAAATATCACAGATTTGAGGAAATAAATATTATTTCATTTATTTTAAATATAAAAGCAGATTATTCAAAATTATTCTTTATGAGTTTAGTAAGTTTGGACAAGGGGAGGTGTATCTCATAGGACGTATTTTATATAAATAAAACAGTAGTAATAATGAGATCTTTCCATTTAGAAGAACCAGAAATTTCTATGGAACACATATTTTGATTCAGGTCATAAAATTTTGTACTTTCTACAGTACTAATTTTACCTGGTTACTTTGTTTCTATGAGCATTCTTAAGAAATATAATTTTAGGTATGCCCGGGTGACTTGGTTGGGCTACCTACTCTTGATTTTAGCTCTGGTCATGATCTCAGGGTTCGGGGATTGAGCCCCGACTTGGGCTCCATGTCTCTCTGTCTCTCTCTTTCTCTTCCTCTGCCTCTCCCCCCAAACCCCTCTGTGCTCACTCTAAGTAAATAAACAAACAAATAAATAAAACATTATACAAAAAATAATTTTAAATACATTGATTCTGATGTCCTACATGAACATAGCCCTACCCTAGAAAATATTTTCCTTATTACAAAAATATATTCTTGATTATATCTAAATTGCTTATAAATGCCAATATCATAGAGATCAACTAGTTATTGTCCTCATAAAAAAGGTCAATGTCACTTTAATCACCCAATCAGTACTTTACACCAACATAGGGAAACTTTGCAGAGTCTTTTAAGAGAAATTGCCACTAATTGAGAATTAGGATCATCCAGAGAAAAAGTTCTTTGCTAAAAGATTTTTATTCTGACTCTTCTTGATTTTTTCAAGAAGCCTAAGATAAGCACTTAGGGAAATAGGATTCAGAGGCTAGTGTGCCATACCTTTAGTACATGGTTTTGAGTACTATGGAATCCCAAGCCAAACGTCAATAAGTTTTGGATTAAGCAATATAATTATTCTTTTTGGACATTAATGTAGATCTCTTATTAGTGTAGTTTTTCAGTCACAGCTGCATATTAAAAATACTTGGGACACTTTTAACTATTTTGAGACTCAGTATATTTCTTAGATACTCTGATTTAAATGGCATGATGTGGGGTCAGGGTGTAGGAAGGAAAGATATCTGTTCTTCAGGTGAAGAAACAATCTCCTTGCAAGTATCTGATTTAATTTCTACAGATCAATAAGACTAACAAAAAAATACGGTCTATAGATATCTATGAAACCTACAAAAACTACTATGAAAACCTATGGAAACTACTGAATACTTGCTAATCTGACTACTAACAAGTGTGACATAAATGGTGGTTGCAGGGAATTTCAAAGTACAATGCACTTAAGGATCAAAGGTACTACTTTAAAATGTAGAATCCTGCTAGGTGTTATGCTAGAGATTCTGATTCAGAGAAACTAGGCTAAGGCCATGGATTGTCTATTTTTACAGACATCTCTGGTGATTACAATGCAAAAGGTCTATAGTCCCTACAAAAGAGAGCTTTATGAACACTATTACTATGACCTTCATTATTAGCATTTATAAAAATCCTTGAGTTTTATTTTAAGGTAATATTTCTAATCTTAAAAGATAATCTTAAGACACTCAGGATAAGAAATAACTTTAAATGTAAATAAGACTTTAGCAATAAATCAATGTAGATAAGTTAAAATAATGTTTATGGATAATATATTTTGTAAGTGGTGCTACTCTCCTAAGTAAACTATGTAAGTAATCAACAAAATACTGTGGCAAAAAAGAGAAAACTAGATTATATTCTGTAATGGGAATTAAACCTAAAACTATATATTTAACTACAAACATGCCCTCAATGCTCAGAATTAAAAATTTTTTTGGCCCAAACTTAGCAGGGGGGGAAAGCTCTTCTAGCATCATTTGCTCTAAGAGCAAAGCTAAAATTTTTTTTAAAGAAAAAGTCTTGAGTCATTTCCTTCAACACACAAACATAACTTACTAAAAATAACATGAAATAGGCTGTTAACATTTTAGCTTTGAAACTTCTTATAAACAGCTCCAGAAATACAATCACGGACTTCTCAAATGTCTTCATGAACATGGATCTATTCCACCTCTCAAATCTGCAGGATCAGATGCAAGTCTGCCTCTGGTTTATAGTATGCAATCAGGTCCCAGCGTCTTTTGGCAAGATTCATGATCTTTTACTATTTGACCTCAGCTGCCTTTTGCTGTTTACCTCTCATCTCTTCATCAACCAAAACTTGGCTCAAATATTGCTTCCTCCTTGAAGGAAATTTCCATCAATCTGACACTAAGAGCTTTCTTTCTCTTCTGATTTCCAGCACTAATTATTGCAAATTACTTAGGTAATTAATCAGGTACTCACTTATGGTCCCTTATTTCTATCTTTTATTATTAAGATTTGGCATGTTTGTTTTATTCCCTCAACTAAATTATATTTCCCAGCAAGCCTGAAAGCATTTAATAAATATGTGATGATTTTATTTGTTAGTCTTCCCAGTAACTGAGTATAGCATTTGACAGTGATTGAGTGAGGCTCCAACTTTTCTCTTTAGTATGCCTTATAACTATTAATGATTTAAAAATTGTAATTGTGACTTCCCTATCCTGCAAGAATTTGTCCATCTCTTTTGAGGCTACAACACCCACCTCTCTTAATATCTCATAATCCAGGTAATTTTAGTCAACTGAGGGTAATGGTGTAATAATTGCTCTTAATAATAACAGTGAATTAACAAGAATGCACATTTTAAAAAATAAATTTGACTCTATTTACATATACTTAACATAGAAGTCATAGGGAACAGATTTAGTGTTTCCTTAGAAAAACTACATACTTTAATAAGAACCAATAACTCTGTAAATAACACCATATATCACAAAACAACTCAAAGTATATATATTATTTTTTAATAACTAAAAATACAAATTTATAGATAAGTGTCTGCAACATTTTTTTAAATGCTAACACGTCTTCCTTGCTTTGAAATACAGTAATGAGAGCTAACATTTATTGATTTTTAAATCTAACCATCATTAATTAAATTTTTACAACAATCCTAAGAAGTACTATTATCATCTCCATTGCACAGATAATGAAATTGAGGAACAGAGAGATGGACTCATCCAAGGTGTTATAGTCAGTAACTGTCAGAGCTAGATTTCAAACTCAGGCAGTCTGTAATTATCTACAATATTTCTGAAGCCACTGTCCATTAAACTAAAACTCCAGTAGCTCTGGAAGCCTTACTGAATGTATCTTCATATAAATTTCTGCCTTCCACCTTCCACCCTTTTGCAAGCTTTATCAGGTTTCCCACTCAAAGGAGAATGCCATGGGGGTCCATTTCCAACTCTTCTCACAAAGAGATGATTTCTTTCTTTTTTTTTTTTAAATTATGTTCAGTTAGCCACTGCATAATACTTTAGTTTTTGATGTAGTGTTCAATGATTCATTAGTTACGTATAACACCTAGTGCTCATTATAGCATATGCCCTCCTTAATACCCATTACCCTGTTAACCCCTCCTCCAGCCCCCTCCCCTCTGAAATCTTCAGTTTGCTTCCAAGGGTCCACAGTCTCTCATGGTAATTTCCCTCTCTGATTTCTAAGCCCTCATTTAGTGCTACATACATTCTATTATTTCTGTACAATTTAAAGAATAAATTCCCTGTATAATTTACATAATAAAACATAATAAATACTAAAGATTTATCCTAAAAACCTCATTCTTGCTTCGAATGTAATGTTTTCTAAGCCTAATAACATGAAGTATAGATCAATGCTGGATATTTTATTTACAGTTTTAACTCATTAAAAAAATTTTTACAAAAAATTATACCTTCTTATAGAAAAATTAGACCTTCTCTATAATCTTGAAATATGGAAGTTTTTACAGTAAGAAAACATGCTTTCTACTTCCCTGAGCTATAGGACTATATCAAAACTTAAACTACTGCTTCTTTTTTTTTTTTTTTTTTTTTTTTTAGAGTGAGAGAAAGTGTGAGTGTGGGGTGAGGGGTAAAGGGAGGAGGCAAGAGAGAGACTCTCAAGCAGGCTCCAACGCCCAGCATAGAGCTCCACGCAGGGCTCAGTCCCATGACCCTGAGATCATGACCTGAGCTGAAATCAAGAGTTGGATGCTCAACTGACTGAGTCCCCCAGGCACCCCTCAAAACCTAAATTTTTATAGGTAATTGCTCTCATACCATTAGTAGAATGCAATTTTGTAGGCCTCAAGATTCCATTTATTCTAGTAGGTGACTTAAAAAAAAATCTAATGCACAAATTTCAGATGTGGTTGAATGGAAACAGATTACAGCAAAGCATTAATGAATAAAATAAAATCTTTCAGTCTTTTATTTCAATAAAAACCAAACATTCAAGGAATTAAAAATATATTTAACCCTTGTCTGCTTGCTTATTTGCCTTGTTTGCTTTTTTTTTTTTTAAAGATTTTATTTATTCATTTGACAGACAGAGATCACAAGTAGGCAGAGAGGCAGGCAGAGAGAGAGGATGAAGCAGGCTCCCCGCTGAGCAGAGAGCCAGACGCGGGGCTCGATCCCAGGACCCTGAGATCATGACCTGACCAAAGGCAGAGGCTTTAACCCACTGAGCCACCCAGGCGCCGCTTGCCTTGTTTGCTTTTTAAATGTTTCCAAATTTGTTCAGTATGACAAAAGTTCTAATCATGCAGTGAATGGAAGTTTTTTTTTTCTCAACTGTTTTTAGTTTGGAGACTAATCTTAGCCTGACTGTATTCAAGCCATTGCTTAGTACCAGTTAAGTCCGTTATTAAGTTTATTCCAGATCACTCATTTAGTGCAACTTGCATAACTCTTATTTATGGTTTTAGCTCAACTGTTCTATTTATGTTGAACAGTATAAAATTCCCTCATTGGATACACCCCAGTCATTGTCAAAAACAAAGAACCACGGGTAATTCTAAATCCTGTCCACCAAATTAGGCCTTGTCTTTAGCCCTCTTGTAACTTGCCCAG